ATACAGGTAAACCGGCTTACTGGCCGACGGATCCAAACAGATTACCAGATTTAATTGACTCTTTTATAATCAAGAATATATCAGCAAATTTCCTACAAATAGAGGACATGGACTCGGATCACTCTTTAGTTGTGCTAACTTTTAGTGAAACTGTTATAAAAAAAGAAAGTATTCCTACTTTAGTCAATAAATATACAAACTGGAATAGCTTTAGACTATATCTTGAAAAAATTAATTTGCTGACACCATTAAAAAATGAGCAACATTTAGAAAAAGTCAAGTTATTTACAAACAACATTTAACAAGCAGCATGAAAAAGCACACCTGAAATTAAGAGAAGAGCAGCACAAAATAATTATCCTAAAGAAATTAGAGATCTAATCAAAAGGAAAAGAAAATCAAGATGGAAATGGCAACAAATCAGAGCGCCACAGGATAAAGCAAGATTAAATAACGTCAATCAACAATTAAGAAGAGAAATATAGTAAATAAATAATGAATCGATTGACGCTTACCTGAGAGAACTAACAGCTGATAGCAATACAGATTATTCTCTCTGGAAAGTCACTAAAAGACTGAAATGACCAACAATGGAAATTCCACCAATAAGACAAGAAAATATGAAATGGGCAAAAAATAATGAGCAAAAAGTTGAAAAATTTGCAAATTATTTAGAAAACATATTTCAACCAAACTAGGTATAAGAATACAGACCAAACTGGGAAAATGTAATTCAAAAAGAAAAGGATATTAAACTCACATCACTCACAGAAGTGAAAACTAAAATAAAATATATAAGTTCCAAAAATGCTCCAGAGTTTGATCTTATCACTGAAGAAGTATTAAAATAGCTACTGGAAAAAGCAATAGTAAAACTAATTAATTTAATCAATGCATCATTCAGCTTAAAATATGTACCGAGATGATGGAAAATTATTGAAGTTAGTATGTTGCTAAAATCAGGAAAACTACCACATGATATCTCATCTCATAAGCCAATTTCATAGCTGCCTATAATGTCGAAACTGTTTGAAAAACTATTACTATTATTATTAAAAAAATAAATAAAATCAACTATAAGAAAAAAATTAATACCATCTCATCAATTTGGCTTTAGAAGTAATCATTCAACAATAAACCAAGTACGTAGGATTATAAATATAATATAAAAAGCTCTGGAGGAGAAAAAAGTTTGCTCTAAAATCTTTTTAGATGCAATGCAAACATTTGATAAAGTTTGGTACAAAGGTCTGAATTATAAGCTGAAAATTTTTTCCTAAACATATCCTGAAATTCTATGGTCTTACATAGCAGACAGACACTTTAGAACAAGAGGATGCATATTCGAGTCTCAAAGAAATTAAAGCGCAGGGGTACTACAGAGCAGCGTGTTGAGTCTGGTACTGTATTTGTACACATGTGATGTTATACACATGTGTTCCTAAAATAATACAATAGTTACTTTTGCTGATGACACTGCGATTCTAGCAATAAGAAAAAGCAATCAAGAAGCTAGGGAAATTACAAGCAGCTGTTGATAAAATAAATTGGGCAAAAAATGGAGAATCAAACTAAATAAAGTTAAATCCATATATGTAAATTTCACTAACAAAAAAATTCAATATATACTAGTGAATATAAATAATAATCAGATACCATACTCGAATACTCGAATACTACAAAGTACTTAGGTATGACGCTTGATTATGCGTCATTACGCAAAATTATGCTGGAAAGTGTATATTAAAAAGAAAAGGGAAGAGCTGGACCTAAAATATAAAAAAAAACTATATTGGCAGATTGGAAGAAATTCCACTCAGTCTATATATAATAAGCTTTTAATTTACAAGCAGATATGTAAACCCGTGTGGACATATGATATCCAGCTATGGGGATGTACCAGACAAAGCAACATTAACATCATACAAAGATATCAAAATAAAATCTTAAAAAACATTGCTGATACATTTTGGTACGTTAGAAATGATGACTTCCATCGTGATCTAGAAATAGAAATAATGAACAACAAAATTAAGAAATTTACTAGGAGGTATGAAGGAAGGTTACAGCAGCACATAAATGTGAATATGCTGTTTCTTAAACAATGCAGGGCTAATGAGAAGACTTAAAAGAGTGAAACCATTCGAGCTAGTATAGATGGCAATTAAAACAGACTTAAAACAGTACACAAAGTAATAATAGTTGTGTAATTAATATATTAAGAACTAGGAATGTCACAGGGCAGATTCTTAGAAAAAAGATGTACCTTAGTAAGTTAGGATATAATTAAATTGCTTATTAGTCCTAAGAATAAATTGCAATATTATAAGTATCTGCCAGATACTATCCTAAAAAAGGTTCCAAATGATAATTATATCACTAGAAAGATTAAAAGATGAGGACCCATTATTTGGCCTATATGATCTTCCAATTTGAATTTTCCAGATTTTTATTTACAGGAATATCTTAAGACTTTTATATTTATGAAACTATTGTTGTTATTGTAAAAGTCCAAAATTATATTGCTTTGTGTAGTAAAACTTCAAGAATTTTTGAATATCTCCGACAATTTATAAGACATTGATATGAAGCATGCATTGAGGCAAAAACAAATTATTTGTAACAATTTTTTAATGAAATGTTCTTACCAAAATCTATTGTAAGTAAAAAGTGTTTGTAGTTTGGAAAAGAAACTTTTCTGGACACATGTTTATATGATCTTTTCTCATTTTTGTATCACCTTATAATGAATAGAATATGTTCTTAATGTTTAGCCACATATTTCTGAAACACCCTATATATTTCGACTGTTTAGAAAACTGACTGTTTAAAAGACTGTTTAGAAAAAATGTTATAAATTATGTTGGGTTAAATTAATAAAATAAACAGTTTTATTAAATATTTACTTTACTAATAAGTTTACTTCTTAAATTTACTTTACTGATACATTCACTACATACTAAATATATTATATACCAAAGGAATAGCAAGGCCCCTATGCAAGATGATTGTGAATTGTAAGCAAAAACATTATAGTAGATGTAAGAATTTCTTTCTTTCCTTTTCCTTTTTCCTTTTTATCTATTTACCTTTTGTCTATTTATTTATTTTATTCATAAATATATATTGTTAGAAATTATAATCTGTAAATTATGATCTTCCACAATAGTATTTATTGAACTTTTAAAATGTTTAAAATTTTTTAAATTAATATAATGTAAAAATTCTATTAACATAAATTGCCTAATCATATATAATTATCATATCATAATTGTATTATAATTAGTTGTTACATTAAACCTTAAATATTAACATATTGAAATAAATATAAACTATGTAATACAATTGCAAGTGATAAAGTTTTTACAGATCGGTAATTATACAGAATACTCTCCTTATCTCCAATTTCGACGAAAAAATACTTAATCGATGCATTTTTGCAAGACAAACAACTTTTCTATTTGAAAAAAGTGGTCGCGCTACCTTATGAAACAAGATATTAATTGTTAAAGTTGACAGCAGTTTAGGTTAGGAAATCTGTCACGGAGGCGACAGATAATAAAAAATAAATCTTCGCTTTACTAAAAAAGAATGAGTCTACAATATACTAAAAATGGATACAATCAAAATACAATTATATACAATTAAATACAATTAGATACAATTAAAAAATCAATTAAAATGCTTATATTTATATATTTTATATTTAATTTTTATATACTTATATTTTTATTGATATTTGAGATATATTTTATATATTTATTTTTATTTCTATGTTATTTTTATACATTATCTCATTTATACTTACTATTTCAGCTATGTCTGCCACTTGTTTCATTTTCTTTTAAATCTTTCGTCTTACTAAAAAGATGAGTCTACAGTATACCAAAAATGAATACAGAAAAGATTAGCAAGGCCCCTATGCAAGAAAGGATGTATCATAAATCAGAAGTAGAAGAATGATAACATGTGCTATCCTATTATGTAGAACTGATCTTGTTCCTCTTGTTACATAATAAAATAGCATATGCTATGATTCTTCCATCTTTGATTCATGATACATCCTCTTTTGCATAGAGGCATTGCTAATCTTTTCTATATCCATTTATAGTATATTGTAGACTCATCATTTTAGTAAGGCTGAAAATTTAAAGGAAAATAAGAGACATAACTGAAATAGTAAGTGTAAATGAGATAATGTATAAAAATGACAGAAATAAAAATAAATATATAAAATATATCTAAAATATCAATAAAAATATAAGTATATAAATACAAAATATATAAATATAAAACATTTTAATTGATTTTCTAATTGTATCTAATTATATTTAATTGTATATAGTTGTATTTTGATTGTATCCATTTTTAGTATATTGTAGACTCATCTTTTTAGTAAGGTAAAGATTTATTTTTTATTATCTGTCATCGTGACAGATTTCCTAACCTAAATTGCCATCAACTTTAACAATTAATATCTCGCTCCACAAGACAGAGCGACGATTTTTTCAAATAGAAAAGTTGTTTGTCTTATAAAAACGCATCGATTAAGTATTTTTTCGTCGATATTAGAAGTGAGGAGGATATTCTGTATAACGACCTACAGATCAATTAAAAAACAATATTAGAAATAGTTTAGACTATAAATAATTAAAGAAAATAATGCAACTATACTTCATAAATATATTTATTATACACTGCAAATCATACGAAAATAGTTTTTATTGAAGCATTTAACTTTTGCCTTTTTCCAACAAGATGCAACTTGTTCTATGTATTCTATACATAAAATACAAAACACAATTGAGAATGTTCCCTGAAGTGTTCAACAATTTATTTTTTTTCTATCAGAAATTATATTGCTGAAATTACACTGTTGAACTTAGAGAATGAGATGAATTTTTAACTTAAATTAATATCTAATTTTAATATTGCAATTTATATTTGCATGTCTAAGAAATATACTCCTAATTTAGTTGGAAATTTTGAGGAATACTTACATCTTTTGATAGTGAGTGCTACTGAACCAGAAAGTCGCGACTTGTCAAAAAGTTTGGTTAGCTCCGTTAAGAACTACAATTAGAAATCATATATAGTATAAATTAGTAATTTATATAATAAACAATAACACATAAATATAAAATGAAAAATACCGTGTCATTCTCCAATAAAACCATTTTGATGATGGTAACATATGCTCACAGACAGGCTAAATACAACTAACCACTAAAAAGTCAAACGAAAAGTTAAGAAATGAGCTGAAATGAAAAATGATTCTATAGAAAGGCTACTGTAGAGCATTGTAGAACTGTAGAGTAGAAAGGCCATTCGTTCGGTTCGTTCGGTATATGACTTTAGGTAGTAAAGTGTACCCATATGCCATTCACCAGCTGCATTAAGGGGAGGGGGGATTAAATGGATTGGTTAGTGAATTTAAAGCCAACGGCACACGGTGCTTGTTTTCGTGCTGGATTGCTTGCTGGATGAAAATACTGCGTTCTAATTGGTGCATTTCCATCTATCTTCGGAAAAGTACCAATCAGAACGCAGTATTTTCATCCAGCAAGCAATCCAGCACGAAAACAAGCACCGTGTGCCACTGGCTTAAGCCAGCGGCACAGGATGCTTGTTTTCTTGCTGGATTGCTTGCGTACTCCTATGTTGGCTACCTTGCTGGCTATCTTGCTGGAAATAGCTCTTCTGCTGGCTACACTGCTGGCTGCTCTGCTGGATTTTCACGATAGAACCAGTATTTTTCTTGCGTGGTTCTGTGCTAGCTCATTGTAGAGCCAATCAGGAGATTGCCTCATATCATGTGACTTAAGGCTCATCTACATTAGCTGTAAGAGTAAAGCTGTAAGGCTGTAATGTAAGCTGTCAGCGAATGAAAATATTTCATTTCGTGTCTTGCAACCTTACAGCCTTAAGGCTCGTCTACATTAGCTGTAAGAGTAAGGCTGTAAGGTTGCAAGACACGAAATGAAATATTTTCATTCGCTGACAGCTTACGTTACAGCCTTACAGCCTTACTCTTACAGCTAATGTAGACGAGCCTTTATTCTTAAGGCTGTAACGTAAGCTGTCAGCGAATGAAAATATTTCATTTCGTGTCTTGCAACCTTACAGCCTTACTCTTACAGCTAATGTAGACGAGCCTTTAAAGTTAATGTAGACGAGCCTTTAAGGTTTTCTATTCCTTCCAAAAATATCGTTGTCAAATAGAATAGAAGGAAGCATGACGTCCACAATGTGCAATCCAACGTGCAAAACGAATATAATAAAAATATAAAAATAAATATTTTAGTTTTATAGTACCAAAGATTATTTTAAACGTATAAAAAATATTTTAATTTTATAGTACTAAAGATTACAACATTTCATTTGGCACAGTTTTACTATAAAGTTTTATTAATACTTTGATACACATATTGATAATACATATTATAAACAATAATTTGTATGGCGGTTGTGCAATAAATTGTATTCTATCAAAAAGTTCAAAATGCTTTACTATAATAATTTGACAATATATTTCTTAATTTATCCTAGACAATGACATAGTTTAATAATCTGTAGTGAACTTAATCGATTACTTCTTAGAATTGATCAATCGCATTTGTTTTTAAACAGTATTAACCAATCATAATTGATACTTAATCAGTCAATTAAGGTAAGTGATGATACATTTGCTTTAATGTCTTGTTTGACTTTATTTTAAAAAAGTATATACATTACAACAGTAATATTATATTAATACATTATTACATAATATTTTAATATATCATTAATAAAACAGTAATACTATTTCTTTTTGTATATTATAGAAGTTATATTGTATATTATAGAAGTTTAAGGAGATTACAATTTTTTATAAATACATATATTTAAACTTAATTAATAATTTCCCTTCTGCACAGCAGTATACTGCCATGGGACAGCACCAACTGTATTAAAATATTTGGCAAACATATCTCTTACTTCTGCAGCAGCAGCAAAGGATCAGTTGCCATCTTGTTGGCCTATACCAGAGCTGGAAACTAAGGCCGGTATTCATAATCGAATCTTAAATTTAAGACCGTCTTAAGTTTATTTTCAGATGCTATACAAATCATTTCATTGGCTATGGGGTATCTGAAAATGAACTTAAGACGGTCTTAAATATAAGACCTGACTATGAATACCGGCCGTAGTGCCCTTTTCGGCTGGATTTCAAGCGGTAATACCCACCGTTCCCTTTCCACTGCTCCGCGCTCAGCGGCCGAGGCGACGATCGCGGATCGTTCAGGCTCGTCGCTACGTAAGATGTCAGCTGGAGCGTACCCTCGTGTTTTATTATAATTATAATTTTTCCTCCCTTAATAATCGCTTTAAAATATATATGTTTATGTGTTTTATACACATATACATATATATATATACATATATATATATAATTACAACATAATGAAAAAATCACATAAAAAAAGTATAATTAAAGGATTATTGCAATAGATTTTCACATCATCTGTGAGGTACTATTGCTGATGCGTTTTTTAAAGTGCTTTCCCCAGTAGGCCTACTCCACTAAATAATAAAGAACAAATACGATAAAATGTATGGCTCGGCAGGAAAACTAAATGAAAAGAAGTAAATGATCATTTGGGAACAAGTAAACTAGGATTTCCTGGGTCGTTTAGACTGTACTATGGATGATATATCCAAAGACATTTTAGAAGAACTAGCTCGCATCAAGGAAGAAAGGGAAGTATCATTTAAAGAAGAACGTTTATTAAAACATGCGTTATTGCAGCGGTCGAATCATTTGGAGATTCGATGACTTTCGAAAAAGCTGCAAGCATTCCATTAAATCTGTAAAATCACGGATAGATGATACAGCTTCATCTTTAGAAGAGAAATTAAAATGTTCATTTGCGTCTTATTCGTATTATTCATTATGTATTTATGAGAACACCGATAATCGGCATATGGATCAACTGTGTATTTTTGCTTGAATCGTACGTAAAACGATTTTTCACATGTCAAAAACCTTTCAGACTTTGTATCGTTGCAAAGGAGAACAACAGGTGTTGAAATCTTTAAGGCTCTTAGCCAAACTCTGCAAAAGTTTGACATTGATTTCTACAAATGTTCGGCTGTAGTCACCGATAGCGCAAAAGCAATGATAGGTTTGAAAAAACGGCTTCTTTGAACAAATAAGACAGCAAGGTTTTAAAATCTCTGTTACTCATTGCATCATTCATCAAGAAGCGTTGTCTTATAAGCTTAACCCCTTGACTGTGAATGACGTAAATATGCGCGAAAATTTTGCCTCTCCGGCGTACTCTATGCTCTAAAATTTTGTTTCCCTACCGAGCCATACATTTTATCGTATTTGTTCTTTATTATTTAGTGGAGTAGGCCTACTGGGGAGAGCACTTTAAAAAAACGCATCAGCAATAGTACCTCACAGATGATGTGGAAATCTATTGCAATAATCCTTTAATTATACTTTTTTTATGTCATTTTTTTCATTATGTTGTAATTATATATATATATGTATGTGTGTATAAAACACATAAACATATATATTTTAAAGCGATTATTAAGGGAGGAAAAAATTGTAATTATAATAAAACACGAGGGTACGCTCCAGCTGACATCTTACGTAGCGACGGGCCTGAGCGATCCGCGATCGTCGCCTCGGCCGCTGAGGACAGAGCAGTGAAAGGGGAACGGTGGGTGTCACCGTTTGAAATCCGGCCGAAAAGGGCACTTAGTCTCCAGCTCTGGCCTATACTATATAATCCTGACTCTAATGTTTCTGAGCTTTCTGTTCTATATTTAGTAGGAATATAATTAAGTTCTTTTTCATTTAAAAGATAATTATGCAGAAGGAGACATGCGTACGTTATAAGCTCTACTTTTTCTACAGCTAATGCTATAGGATTTAACAGAACTCTGAATCTATTCGTAAGTATACCAAATGCATTTTCGGACGTTCTTCGTGCTCTGCTGAATCTGTAATTACATATTCGCTTTTGTTGCGTCAAGCCACGTTCTGGATAAGGTTTCATTAAATTAATATGTAATGCAAAAGCATTATCCGTTATAATTACATATGGCAAGTTAACATTAAAACCAGGCAGAGTACTTGGTTGTGGTAATTTGAGGGTATTTTCCTTCAATTTTACTCCTAACGGACTTTCACGAAACACTGTAGAGTCATGAGTGCGACCATTTTTGCCAACGTCTATAAAGATAAATTTATATTCTACATCTACTAAGGCTAAAAGAATAATGCTACCTGTCCCTTTATAATTACGATATTTTGATCCATGATGCGTGGAGGGCGAAAGACAATATGTTTGCCATCTAAAGCGCCTATGCAGTGAGGGAATTGCCACATAGTTTAAAATTTTTCAGCTATGATTTCCCAATCTTCGTCTTTACTTGGGAATAACATCACTTTATTTTCAAGCACTGTAATAATAGCTTGCAATACTTCTGGTATATTTTTGATAAAGTATTTGGAGCAATTCTTGTGGAAAACGAGAGATCTTGAAACGAGTTGCCAGTTGCTAAAAATCGAAGAGTTAAACTCAATCTCATTCGAGGACAAATAGATTATCTCATTACTGTATTCTTTTTCTCAATGTATGGTGTAATGAGAAATAATAGTTTTTCCATAACCTCTTCTTCTAGTTGAATATAATTTTTGAAAAATCTAGGATCTTCAGGTCTATAAGCAGAAAAGTAAAGTACATAGGACAGGAAAAGAAATTGAAAAAAAAATTTATATTAATAGATTCATATTCACCCGAGTTCTGTAAATAACATAGTAAGTACACTTGCGTAATTATTGCGTCGTTGTAACCATTGTCGACTCCATAAACGTCGGCGAAATTGATTCCGTCGTCTTTGTTGCAACGCTATAATAAATAAAAAAATGAAACTGCAATTCTTTTACGTTTTACTGCAACAGCAATTATCTGTTCTATGTTTATCATGACCTAGGCTGCGTTCCGAAATTCACTGTCAGTACTGAAAATACATAGTTTGTGTCACGTATATCATAGAATTTCAGTGCTAGCAGTGAATATCGGAACGCAGCCCTAATGCAAATATACTTATCTTTCAACCAGTACGTAACATCATGTGAAGCCACACTAGCAACATAGCCAGCAGAGTTACCCGCACAGCTGCCCACATAGCAGCAAGCAAGCACACCTAGCAGACAATCCAGCAGGAAAACAAGCATCGTGTGCTGCTGGCTTTAGTTTTCTTCATTTCCCTTCTCAGGACAGAAATGAAGAACTCTGATTGGTTGATTCTCTTATGC